CTTTCACGTAGAAGGCATTTCCACACTCACTGCATTCATACGGTTTCTCTCCTGTGTGCGTTCTCCGGTGCTGCCGAAGGGACTTCCTCATGCTAAAGATCTTCCCACACTCAGTGCATTCATAGGGTTTCTCTCCCGAATGTCTTCGCTGATGCTCAATGAGACGTGCTTTCACGTAGAAGGCGTAACCACATTTGTTGCATTGGTAAGGCTTCTCTCCCGTGTGAATTCTCTGATGGACCCCAAGAGAGGAGTGCACACTGAAAGCTTTCCCACATTCATTGCACTGATAGGGTTTCTCACCGGTGTGGATCCTCTGATGATTATTGAGAGTCATCTTCATTCGGAAGAACTTCCCACATTCTGCACATTCATAAGGTTTCTCCCCTGTGTGAATGCTCTGATGTTGATTTAGGGATTTCTTTGCCCGGAAATTTTTCCCACATTCCCCACATTCATAGGGTTTCTCCCCCGTGTGAGTTCTCTGGTGCTGGGTGAGGGCTATCTTGACACGAAATGGTTTCCCACATTCACTACACTTGTAGGGTTTCTCCCCCGTGTGGGTCCTCTGGTGGATGGTGAGAGTTGCCTTCTCAGAAAAGGTTTTCCCACATTCTGTACATTCATAGGGTCTCTCTCCTGTGTGGGTTCTCCTGTGTAAAATGAGTTGTGACTTCCGGCCAAAAGATTTCCCACATTCAGGGCATTCAAAAGGCTTCTCCCCCGTGTGAGTTTTCTGATGGGCAATGAGGTATGATCTGGCACTGAAGGTTTTGGCACAGTCGCCACATTCATAAGGTTTTTCCCCTGTGTGTATTCGCAGATGTTCAACCAGGTTTGATTTCCTGCAGTATGCCTTCCCACATTCATGACATTCAAAGCTTTTATCTCCAGTGTGTGTTCTTTTCTGTTGAAGGAAGCCGGTTTCCTGGTGGAAGCCTTTCCCACATCCATTATATTCAACGTTTTGATTCAAACTGTGAAGACTCTGATGCTGAAGCAGGCTGTTATCCAGCCTGAGGGCATTAGCCCCAACAGAGCTGTTGCCACACAGTAGCGAGAGAGATCCTTTAAAAACAAACCAGAGTCTGTCACTCTTTGAGGTACTAACACCTTCAAATGGCTTCTGTCATAGTGTAAAATTAAACTCGTCACCAGAGCCTTTATAATTTATATCATTTTGGCCCCCTGATGACTCACTGATACTACCTCTCAATATTTTTCCCTCTTTTGCCCTGGCCTTTTTGCAAGTCCCAGGAGATGTCACTTAGACTAAGCTTGGCACTGGGTTCAATCTGCCCACAATATTCAAAATTCATATGGCTCAGCCAGGTGTGGTGGTGCACACTTGTAATCCCAGCAACTTGGGAGGCTGAGGCAAGAGGATTGTGAGTTCAAAGCCAGCCTCAGCAATTTAGTGAGGTCCTCAGCAACTTTGCAAGACCCTATCTCTAAATAAAACATAAAAAGGGCTAGGGAGCTGGGCATGGTGGCACATGCCTATAATTCCAATGGCTCAGGAGGCTGAGGCAGGAGGAT